AACGGGGGGGGGCGATACCTCGCGGGGCTCAGCAGCCAAGCTGAGGACAGTGGACGGTTATAACGCCTCGCGGCGTTTCCTTAACGCTTTAAATCTGTTATGAGGCAAGAAAAGCCGTTTGGGCTGTGCTTATCCCTGTCCTGCTCCACCCCCGCGATTTCCCCTTCTCTCGCAGGGTGTGTGCCCCTTCCTAAACCATTCCTTCCCTCCTCCAGGCTCGGAGACGTCTCCCAGCAGCGAGGACAGGACAGCTGCAGGGCAGTCTGTCACAGAGGCAGACCTGAAGCGCCTGCCCGAGTTCAACCCTCCTTCCTTCATGCCCTGTGGGAATGTGGGCACCCCCCTGGGAGTGTTTCTGGAGCTGATCCGAGCCTGTAGGCTTCCTCCCCCCGTCATCAAGAAGCTGCAGCTGGATTTTCCAAAGACTGGCTCGTCCCGGAGGTATGGGAATGTGCCTTTTGAGTACCAGGACACTGAGACAGTCCTCGAAGAAGAAAGAGTTTACACTGCTGCAGGGGATGAGATCACAGAGGGAGAGGAACCTGTGGCAACATCTGGGGTGACTCACCCAGCAGGTCCTGAGGAGGATGAGGAGGGGCAAGAGGAGGAAGAAGAGTCACACTCAGATGATGTAAGTTGGTTTGTGGTGTAAGTGGATTCTTCCAGCACTGTCCAAGCTTAGCTGTGGCAGCCTCAGAGCTGGGAGAGCTCGTAGCCCTCCCAGAGCTCCTTTTTAATCTTTTAATTGAGTTCCATAAATCACTTGTCTAAAAATGATGCTCAAATACAATTGTTCACCTCTCGGTGAGCTGAGTCCCTTGGGGCATGGACAGTGAGGGCATGAGCCCCCCCAAAGCTGCTTGTCCAAGTCAAGCTAGTTGTGGGGATTGATCCAAAAGAGTTTGCTGGAAGTTCATCCTAAAGGGTTTGATGGTGGTTAAGCCCAAAGTGTTTGGTGGAAATTGATGCTAGAGGGGGTTTGGTCAGGGCTGACCCCAAAGGGTTTGATGGAGATTGATCCCAAAGGGTTTGGTCAAGGTTGATCCCAAAGGGTTGGAAGCAGCAAGCAGAGGGAAGGCTGATGCAGAGCAGATCCTGTCCTGCTGCCTGGCACATGGTCTCAGCTCTGCTCTCTACCTGAGGTGAGAAGAGGTTCAGGACCCTGTTTGAGTGCTGGAGATGCCATGCAGAGCTGCCCACGTGGCTGACCTCGAATGCTGCTGCGATTGAAGTAATCACTGTGAGGAAAATGGCTTTTGTGACAGAATCCTGGAGGACTGGCCTGTCCAGGCTGTGTGGAGCCACTTGCCTCCTTCCCTGACAGACACCTGTCTGGCCTGTTCTCCCCATCCATCCTCTGTCATTACAGATCCCCAGGCAAGCCATTCCCGTCCTTTCCTACACCAGAATTAACTCAGAAGCCAAATCTTTACTGCAATTTCACCCCATTAGTTTCTCCTGGCAACAGTGGACACAGAGAGCACTTTGTTCCCTCCTTCACCAGCTCTTGATTCAGCCTTTGCCTCTCAGACTGAACATACTTCTCCAGCTGTGTCTCACAGGGTGTTTCCAGGATCTCCAGTCCTTTTTTTTGGCCATTCCTTTGTTGATTAATATCTTCCTTGAAGGGCTGTGCCCAGGACTCTGCAGGCAGCAGTAAAGCTGTCAGTCTGCTCCATGCCTGTGCCAGTGAGCTGCTTCCCTGGAACCCACACAATCTCCTCAGGGATCAGCTGGAGTGGAATTAATTTGTTGCTGGTGCTGACTTTATGTCCAGCACACCTGCTCCTTACATGGGCATCTCTGCTGGGCCTGGCACTGCTACAGGCTGGGTGTGACATGGGATTTTTCCCTGCTGACTCTGGAGATGGCATTAGTCAGGCAATGAGCTCATCCCTGCCCGTCGTGTCGGGGCCTGAGCGCTGCAGGCTGGGACCAGCTCTGCCGACGGAGCTGTTCCGCAGGGAAGGCCTTGGGATGGGGTCAGGGAGGAGGCTGAGTGCTGCTATCACACTCCTGCTGCCATCTCCCCCCACCAGGACAATGACACATGTGAGGAGTGGGAGCGACACGAAGCTCTGCACGAGGACGTGACCAAGCAGGAGCGTGTGGAGGAGAGACTCTTCGAGGAGGAGATCGAGCTCAAGTGGGAGAAAGGAGGCTCTGGGCTGGTGTTCTACACAGATGCTCAGTACTGGCGGGAGCAGGATGGAGGTAACACTGGTGTTTGTGTCATTCAGCCCCCACGAGCCAGGGCCCAGCTGTAAGTCAGGTTTAACCCCTTACACTCAAGCTCAGCTGTAGCCACAGGCATCTTGCCATCACTTTGTAACCTTCCCTTGATCACAACTTGGCAATCCAATCACCAGAGACCCCAGTGGTGCTGCTGGCAGCCTGCTGTGTGGGCTCTGTGCTTTGGGAGGTGTCTGATACCGTTTCCTCTGTGCTGCCACTGCTGAGGTGTCTCCAATCCTGTGTCCAGTTCTGGGCCCTCACTGCAAGAGAGACATTGAGGGGCTGGAGGTGTCCAGAGAAAGGAATGGAGCTGAGGAAAGGTCTGGAACACCAGGAGGGGCTGAGGGGGCGATGGGGGCTCAGTCTGGAGAACAGGAGGCTCAGGGAGGACCTTCTTGCTCTCTCCAGCTCGTGGGAGGTGTCCAGAGAAAGGAATGGAGCTGAGGAAAGGTCTGGAACCCCAGGAGGGGCTGAGGGAGCTATGGGGGCTCAGTCTGGAGAACAGGAGGCTCAGGGAGGACCTTCTTGCTCTCTCCAGCTCGTGGCAGGAGGTGCAGCCAGGTAGGGTCAGGTTCTGCTCCCAGGGAACAAGCAACAAGATGCGAGGAACTAGCCTCAAGCTGTGCCTGAGGAGGTTTAGATTGGATATCAGGAAGAATTTCTAAATGGAAAGGGTTGTCAGGCATTGGAAGGGGCTGTCCAGGGAGGTAGTGGAGTCACCATCCTACTGAGTGCCATGGTCTAATTGACAAGGTGGTCATGGGTCACAGGTTGGACTCAATGATCTTGGAGGTTTTTCCAACCTAAGCGATTCTGTTATTCCTTCCCATTTTGTTGGAGAAAACAGGGACCTGAGCCTCCAGCAAACAGCTCTTGTGTCAGACTTCACTAAAACTGCTGCTTTCCTTCTCTTGGCAGACTTTGATGAGCAGACAGCAGACGACTGGGATGTGGACATGAGCATCTACTATGACAGAGGTATGAGAGCATAACCCTCCACCCACCCTGAGGAAACCAGGGAGGCTGGGAAATTCTGACCCTGCAGAATTGAGGGAACTCTTTGTCATCCTTTGAAAGCAAAAAACACATCACTGTACTGGACGTTTTTCTGGTCTGGCAGTGAGAGTTGCCAAAGAGAACAGGTTCTGCCTCCTCTGGGGGAAATGACAGTGGTGAACAGCTTCCCTGGGCTGTGCTGCTCTGACTCTGACTTCTTTCTTCCCAGATGGAGGTGATAAGGATGCTCGAGACTCGGTTAAGATGTGGCTGGAACAGCGACTCCGGGATGGGCTGGAGGATGGATCTGTGTCAAGGCAGCAGATTGGCACCTTTGAGAGACACACCAAGGTGAGCTCAGCATGGGAAGGGTGTGGGGGTGATGCCCAGAGGATGTGGGTTAGGGGGAGGAGAGGTCTTGGATGTGGGGAGGGAGCAGAATGTTTTGGGAAGATGAAGTTGTGCTTTGACCGGCAACTCAGTGATGATTTTTCCCCTCTCCCAGGGCTTTGGCAGGAAGGTGCTGGTGCAGCAGGGCTGGACAGAGGGGCTGGGGCTGGGGAGCAGCAACTCTGGGATGGCTGAAGCTCTGGATAATGAGGGTCAGCACCCCAGATGCAAGAGAGGACTGGGGTAAGTATCTAACTGCCCTGCCAGCCTGTGTTCAGAGCTCTGTGAGCTCTCTGGGCTCTCACAGCACCTGAGTGGCTGCGACAGGAGCAGAGTGGGAACCAGAACTGTAAGGCTGTCCCAGGAATCTGATGTTCCCTGCACAACTGGGGAGGGAACTAGAGAGCTCCAGAGCTAAATACACTGCTCTTCCTGGCAGACCAGTGCTCCTTAGTGGAGCTTGTGGTGTTAGAGCAGGACTGGAACCATTTTCAGGTTCACAGACACACAGTAAGGACTGAGAGTCACTTGCTGTGATGGTGTGGGGACAGCCTAGGTGACCTGAGCTGTAGCTGCCTCTCCTGTGAGGTTTCTGGAGGCTTTGTGGGGTGCAGAGGTTGACCATGAGGGCTGGCTGGTGTTCTGGAGCAGCCAAGGAACAGGACAAGAATCCCTATTGCCCTGGATTGGTCCATATCTCCCCTGCACCACTGGTACAGGTTCCCCAGAGCAGCTGTGGCTGATACATCCCTGGAAGTGTTCCAGGCCAAGTTGGATGGGGCTTGGAGCAACCTGGGCTAGTGGAAGGTGTCCCTGCCCATGGCAGGGGGTGGAATGAGATGATCTTTAAGGTCCCTTCCAACCCAAACCAGTCTGATTCCATGACCACATGAAGGAAATGAGCTGAGAAGCTTAGGGATTACCTGACAGCCTCAGCAACCTCCAAATAAACCTTTTCTGTTTCCCTCCAGGTACCATGGGGAGAAACTGCCAACTTTCATCAAGGGCAAGAAGCCTCGGCGGGATGGTCCCATCCTTATCTCCACCATCTATGATGCCCCTGAACCCCAGGACAGCGGTGACCAGCTGCTCAGGAGACAGCCCCCCACTGCCATGAAGTACAGGCAGGACATGACCTTTGTCCGTGCCTCCCACCCTGCTCTGGGGAGCCTCAGTGCTCAGTCACACTGAGCAGGGACTGCCACAGCCTTTGTACTGCTTCTGCTCCCTAGCCCAGGCTGGCTCCTGGGCTCATCTTTATAACAGAGTGTATATATGTTTATTTTTAGGAAAAAACCCCAGATTTGTAATTAAAATTGCCTTCGTGTTTTGGGTGTTTGGCCTAATTGAACTGTTTGAATGAGGGGAAGGTGGTGAATGTGGTTCAGTGGGAATGGGGAAGGGTATTGTGTTTCTGGCTGGGGATTTAAAACTGATATTCCTGCCTGGATCAACCAAACCTGTGTGTTAAGTGAGCCTAAAAATCCAGAGCTTGTGGTTCATAGCTGAGTGAGACCCAGAGAAGGACAAGTACAGACAGGGCAGCTCAGTAACTGTCCTGCTGACAGCTCCCTGCTGGCCTGAGCTTGGCTTGGGTGTGACAATCCCACACTCCTGGGAGAAACTCAGGGATGAAAGACTTGTCCTGGCAGCCTCCGGAGGAATTCTGTGGGAGGCGTTTCCCTGCGGTCGGGCGTAGCGGGTGCTTCCTTCCACGGCTCCCTGACGTGCTCTGCCCCGTTTTCCTGACATAGGCACTCTGGAAAGGGAGAGCCTTCAGCCCTGGGACCCAGTGCTGGAGGGTTGAGTGGGAACAGAGTCACAGAATCTCAGGGTAGTGGGAGTTGGAAGGGACACAGAGAAGGACCATCCAAGTCCACCTCCTGCCCTGCCCAGGACACCCCAACAATCCACCCTGTGCCTGAGAGTGATGTCCAAACTTTCCTTGAGCTCTGTCAGCCTTGAGGCTGTGCCCACTGCCCTGGGGAGCTGTTCCAGCACCCAAACACCTCAGGGGGAAGAACCTTCTACTACCTAACCTAAACCTTCCCTGACACAACTTCAGGCCATTCCCTTGTGTCCTGTCACTGGTCACCAGGGGCAAGAGGTCAGTGCTTTCCCCTCCACTTTCCCTCGTGAGGAAGTTGTGTACAGTGATTAGGTCTGACCTCTCTGAACACACCAAGTGCCTTCAGCCTGCAGCTGAGGCTCTTCACCATCTTCGTTGCCCTCTAGATGAAGCCCAGTCCCTATGCACCTTCCTTAAGCCTATCGCTGTGTCAGGAAGGGGATGCAGGGAGAAAATTCGCTTTATTTCGGAAAAAGAAAAAAAAAAAAGTGGATGTAACTGTGCTGGAGGGCTAAGTGGAAGGAGCGGGACTCGA